TGGAGTTGAGGAATTAGAATTTCAGAATTCAAAAGAGAATATTGACTCTCTGATACAGGAATATGAAGAGTTAATTTAATGATTATTATTTGTATATTTCACACTGTTTCCAGTCCCAATATATCCGTCTGGATTGTAACAAAACTATATACCAAAATGTAAAATAATTCCAACTACCAATCTAACTACAACAATCTAATATAACCATAATATCTCTAATCCCAAGATACATACACTATGCATAGTAGACAAGATTTGTTTTTTTCTTAGCCTGTACCTCCAAAATCCCTTCCATATAGTCTTCATGTGTTAAGTCAACAGCTCCACGTCTGAGAGCAATCATACCAGCTTCAACACATACTGCTTTACACTGTGCACCGTTAAAATCGTCAGTACATCTGGCTAACTCTTCGAAATTAACGTTTTCATGCAGATTCATTTTACGTGAATGTATTTGCATTATACGCGCTCGACCCTCTTCATTCGGCATTGGGAATTCTATTTTACGGTCTAAGCGTCCAGATCTTAGCAGGGCTGGGTCTAGGATATCAACTCTGTTGGTAGCAGCTATAACCTTTATACGATCATCTGAAGAGAAGCCATCTAATTGGTTTAATAGCTCCAACATTGTACGCTGTACTTCTCTATCTCCTTCTTTCTCACTTGCAAACCGTTTGCTACCAACAGCATCTAACTCGTCAATGAATATAATCGCTGGTACTTTTTCTTTTGCGAGAGCAAACGCGTCTCTTACCAACTTCGCACCGTCTCCAATAAACATCTGCACTAACTGCGGACCTGCTAATTTCAAGAAAGCGGAATTAGTTTGAGCAGCACAAGCTCTGGCTAGTAGAGTTTTCCCAGTGCCAGGAGCTCCGTAGAGAAGCACACCTTTCGGTGGCTGAATACCGATATTATCGAATTTATCCTTATGAGTCATCGGTAATACAATAGCTTCAATCAATTCTTTTATCTGTTTATCTAATCCTCCTATATCGTTATATCTCTCTGTGGGTTTTTCGTCTACTTCCATTGCTTTCACTCTTGAGTCGTATTCAGCTGGCAAGGTGTCTAGGATAAGGTATGAGTCTTTATTGACTCCCACGAGATCCCCTGGGTGTAGTTTTTCAGGGTCAACAAGACCAATAACAGGTAGGAAGTACGTCTGTCGGGTTGATGTTTTTATGACAGCGCATTTTCCTTTTCGCTGTGCATCTAGATCAATGTTTCCCCCTTCTTCTTCTTCGTCTTGTGGGTCCATATCAAGAATTTCAACGACAGTCGACACCAAGTAAGGCAACACTTTGAAAACTTTTATTTTCTCAGCGTTTTCCTTGATTTTCTCATTCATTTGCGTCATTTCTGATGTTGCTGTCCTTATTTCAGATCGCATTATTCCAATCTCAGTGTTCAGTAGTCTAATTCTATGCTGGAGATCTTCAGTAGACATCCGTAATATGTCTTCATCTATCTCTGTGTCTTGGATAAGCTCGTCTTCAAGATTTGTCATATTTTTGACACCTGTCGATATAACTGTAATTCAAAATAATTTGATATTTCAACCAAAAAAGATCAAAATATGTAAATGTTCTATATATTCTCATAAATCAAGCTAACAAAAGCTATTATTAAATTTCGATCCATGGACCAGTTTGTGGTCCACAGACGACTGTAGGCGATCTATAGGATCTCAAAATTTGTTAAAATTGGAATTGGATCTCAATACCACCAATACATGCTGTGTAAAAAGAATAAAGTGCCGTACTTCGCGGTTCGAAAAAGTTTGTGAAAATAAACCGTAAGAATCCCATAATTATATACGGCATACAAATACGAGTAAAATGAATTAATCAGGAATACCTCATACACATAAGGTTCTATAAATACGCATGACGTTATCACGAGGAATTTGCAGAGATATTCGCATTATATTTATAACTTCTAGACTATCTCTCGCTACTCACCATGGATGTGAATCGACTACTTAGCTAGCTAGCACTAAATTGGTTGTTAATCACAGGTGGTTGTTATTGACTGGAAGATTTCGCGTTTTTAGGTGAAGATTCCTTCGATCCTGGTTTAAGGTGAATTATCGTTTCCGGGTAGGTTTGAAGGTATGTGTAATTTTGACCGAAATTCTGTGGATTTATAAGATTAAACGATGGCATTTGTTCATTTGTCTGCGAAATAGTGCTTGTGTAATTATTCGCAAAAATCGCATTGCCAGGAGTTAATAGCATGCTCTGATTAGGGAGAATACAAGTAGGCATCATATCAATTTTGCTGTGTGGTGTTAGAGTATATGAATTTGTTAGCGGAGTATTTTGTATTATTGGTTTAATATCTAATTCAGTTGAATAGGAAGATTGCGTATTGGGTGAATTCCTAACAGCCAACTCAGGTTTTGGAATGCTCTGTTTCGGAGATCTTTCGCTAAGTTTCAGCAAATCTTGTTTCAAATACGGTGATTTCTTGGATAAAGATGAAATAGACATTTGAGAAGCGACTGGGATTAGCTCTGGGTTTAGGAGGCTAGGATGTGCAGACAATTGTTTAGGGGAATTAATTTTAAAAGTAGGGCTAAGTGATTTAGCGATTGGAATTGGTGTATGTTTTTTCGCATGTTGATCATTAGGTATATCGTGTGTTACAGCTTGTGTCGCGGCATTAGTTACATTAGAATTAGTTTCCTGACTTCCAATACTCATATGCATTTTCCAATTTCCAATTTTTGTGCTTGTTGTTTTTTGTATAGGAGGTATTGTTGTGCAAATTGTTGTTGTTGATAAAGGAAGTGTCTTGTTTTCTTGTACAAGTTCAGGTTGTGTAAAGTGCTCATGGAAAGGCAAAGTAACTTTATACAACTTACTAGTTTTCATTCTTCCCTTAGGCCAAAAGGGTAGAACATAAATATTAAAAAACTGTAAGATAATCTGTTCATTTGTGAAATTTTCCTGACACACACCAAATCCATTTTTCTCCAACTCAATCTGAGCTGTAATTGCACTACCGAGTAATTGTTTCAAACCAAAACTCCACTTAAACCGTTTCTTGCAAGCATTTTGTTTATCGTCTTGGCTGTCAGTGAAATTCTCATTGATTCTGTCTATATAAGGTTGTATATTTGTCATCAGTGATTGAAGTGGGGCGCATAGATACGCGTTCTGAATAATCTGCAATATGGTATCAAGGATAAGGTGAAAGGAATGCAGTTTATTCACAAAAAAGTGTTCTAAATAGTTTTGAATTGCAAGTGTTAGAGCTTGATCTTGTTTACGTTTCAGACAAGCATATATTTTCCCGAGAATCAAACAACGTTGAAATTGACTTTCCTGTGTATTCCAGCTAACAGGATTATTCAGTTTAACTTGAATATGACTGAAGAATAGCTGTAGAATTGTGGTTAAGGATTCTGGGATTTGACTGGCGAATTTGTGAATGTCATTTTTCTCGTAGAAAGCTGGGGTGAAGCAGTCTTGTGTTAACTCCATTTGAACAAGAAGGCTGGCTTCTGAGAACTTTGTGAGTAAGATGGTATTCATGTCGATTTGAGAGATTGGGGAAATTTTGAATTGTTTACCAACTTTATCGCCAAATTTTGGCGAAATTTGAGGTGATTTAGAAATGGGTTGAGATGATGATTGTGGTTGTAACGTCTTTTTGGATCCTATTGGTGGAATTTCTTTCGGCAAACGTTCAATTTGGCTTGAATTTGAAGGTAAACTTCCGATTTGTATGGAATTTGACGGCAGCTGTTTTTCAATCGGTCTAGGTAGTGGAGGAATTTGGCTGTATGCTTGAGGTTCAGTTTTGGTATCTTCTGAATACCCTTTTGATGATTTGGATCGTTTGAGTACCATTTTTGGATTGAATTTTGTAGAGTCCTTGCGTTTTTTATTCGATTTCCTAGGTGGAGTAATCAGATATCCATCGTGCTCAATAATGCAATTTGGTCGTGTTAAATTTTCAGAAGATCCAAGTTGATCATCAGCTGATTTTGACTGTTTACTTTTCACTTTTGGAGAAGGAGGACTCAACATTGAATTTTCTTCCGAAGATTCATGCGGTAAATCAGAGTAAGTAACTTTCCCAAAATTGACATAGAAAGTTCCATGTTCTAATTTTGTTTCAAAAGGTGCTAAATCCTCATGAGCTTCTGAATCATCCACAAATGAATCATCAGTATCATAGCCTTGTGCTACTTCATGGAAATCCTGTTCTCGTATACCTTTATAAGTCTTACGTGATTGTAATAAGTTCATATGACGTGATATATCAACTTTCCCTTCCGTTTCAGTGGTAGGAAGAGGTTTAGGAGAACCATTTATATTTTCATTGTTTGTAGGAGTTTTAGCTAATTCTTTGACAATTTTCGCGAAATTTACTCTTGGAAAACCTTCACTGGTCATATGGTCCTTCAAGTCTACTGAAATGTCAATAGTTCTATCCAAATCACTCATCGTAATTACACTAATACCATAAATACAAATATTTTCAATTGAAATAATAAACGTATAGCTGTGCGTGATGTCATGGACATGTAATATATGTAAAGCTCGATATTAGAACAGGCGCGGCAGGTCCGGCAAGCGCCGTACCTCAATATCCGCTCAAGCTGGCAAATTTCCTGTTTTTGAATTACTTTTAGTACTAGTGAATTAATTAAATAGAGCAGTTGGGTATTATAACACTATTTACGTGTATAAACCAATTCCCCGCGACACTTAAGAGTACGTATAGAGATTTGCGTATTCGTAAGGCAATAAAGCAGTAATGTAAAATGTGTTCATATTGATCGTATTTAATTGGTACGTATTACGCTCGAACTGGGCATTTTCGGGTAAAAAGTGGAAAGTTGGAAAGTTAAAATTATACAGCCATAACTCCTTATACAAACTCAGTAGAACAGAATCAATGAATGCAAATTAGACAATTCCTTGTTACTCAATTTCGCCAATAATGTGTGAGAAAAAGGAGGATTGCGTCTATCGCAAGAGGAGTTGCTTACCTGGGGATCGAACCCAGATTCTCACATGTGAAAGGTGTGCGTTATAACCATTAAACTAATAAGCGAAGTAGCGATAGACAATGCCTCCTAAAAATATTGGAATTGGATCTCCTTATATATAGCAATGGTTCACTTTTATTTCTCTTTTGGTTGGATAATAAAACTCAAAGATAGTTGTATCCGGAGCTCATGTTACAGTGGGCACTACGGGGCGCTGATTCTAAATATGTACTTAAGACACGTATACCCCCGAACGATATATCTGGTATATGTCATAATACGTAGACTTGAACTTATAGAAAAGTTCAAGCCTAAGTGTGTTATTATTTGTATATGTAGTAATGAAAAAGCAAATTTATTTTCTGTGTGCTGCCTGATTGCAACAATGCAATGATTAGGAATTATGAGGTCAAGTCTATAGCTCTATACTGAGAATAGCAATTTTTGTATAAACTATAAAAAGCTTGGAAAATGAGGCTCTATATTTTACGGAACGACGGAAAGCACAACTTTCGCCTAGGCAGCATTACTTTTCAAACGAATTATTAGCTAAAATATTACAATAACAGGGCTCTCAACCTGAAAACTTTCGATATTCTGATATTCGTGAATATTCTTTGTTGTTCACCTCATTTATCTACATAAAATATTTTGCGCTTTCGAGCTTTCAAGGGCGAATTATAAAATATTGGGATTGATGGCACGATTTTTATCGAATTAATTGACAATCAAGCGTTACTTGCTGTAATTATGTATTTTACTATATGATTAGAAGTGAGGGTGGAAATCTGCCTTGGATTATTGTCTAACTTGGTCGGCTTGATGCCGCAATTCAGAGACCCCTTGTTCAAATGGAAGTTTGACCAATTTGCTCTATTTAACCCCTACTCAAACGCTGCGTGTGTGCTCAGCAATTTTACATTCCTCGCATAGGTATGCTCACTTAACCCAATGAGCAGCCGTACTCTCTTCATTCTGCATTCGCACTCGACTTTTCAATACAGAATTATCCATTATAATATGTAATATTGGTGTTCAAGGAGCAGCCCTTCTTGAATGTTAGCACTTTCATGTGAAGAGTACCAGAAACTAAGCAAATTTTGGTGGCACACAAATGTACGGCGGCACACCGGTTGATGACATCGCATTATCATGTATGACTATTTCATATACACATAGTTTTCAAAATATTCGGCAAAAATTGAGACATGTTTCTGCTAAACTGTATAATTACTAAATATATTATGAGTATTTAGATTTACTTCAAGACGAGAAAGATGGCTCAAAATCAAGCCTTACAAAACTCCGTCAAAGTTGGAGTAAATCCGAAAGAATTTATTGAATCTCTCCAACAAGATTTGAGAAATCTGAGCGTAGAAGCTAAAAAGAAATACCCAAACCTACGCGAACCATTAGAACGGGGTATAATGCAGTTACATGAGATATCAATACCTACCGAATCATTTGATGCTCTCAAAGATCATGTAGCCGAAATTGTCATTGCATCGATTATGGGTATATTTGATACAAAGGTCACTCGTTTGGTTTATCTAGGTCTCCAGTGTATTCAGAGGTTACTCACTGCCAATTCGGTCAATAAACAATCTCTCCAGCGTTTGACAGCTCTTCTGGCAGAACTAGCTATAACTGGACCGGAAGAAGTCAAAGTTATACAAACTCTACTCCAAATGGTTTCCACAGATTTGCGGTCAATACAAGGTTCGCTCCTTTCCAAATCACTACGTATAACAATCCTACTTCTTTCCAACAAGGATCCTATAGTATCGAACACAGCATCAACTGCTCTACGGCAAATCGTATTGACTGTATTTGAATGGGCTTCTACGGAGGATATGAAGGATATTTCACCCAAGGTAAGTTCTGATATCAAACCACGTACTACACCAACTCCTGGTATAAATGTGCTACCACAGTTAACTCCACACGCACAAGACGCTCACTCCCTGTTCAGGGATTTATGTCAACTTACTTCAGGTGACCCTCCATTCTGGTTAGACCGTGATTTGAGTTTGAATAAAGAATTAGGACTAGAATTGATAGAAAGTGTTCTGCTTAGTCATAAGAGCCTATTCTTTCTGCATTCCGAGTTTAGCTGGTTGCTAACAGAGTGTGCATCTCCATTATTAATAAAATTATTCTCTCTAGTCGTAACTACACCCAAAATACAATCTTCTGGGTTATTAGCAATGACGTCAGTACTTCAGTCTGGAACTGGACACGACATGAAAGCACTCAGTTTCTCCATTTACGTTCGGTTATTCCGCCTACTCCATATTCTAGTGAATACGTATCATCCTCTGCTGATGATGGAATGTGAAATTTTCTTTTCACTATTACAAAGGTTTATCGAGCAAAATTCACAATTATGGCAGACATCACTAGCATTGGAAGTAGTGAGAAGGTTTTGTATTAAATCGGAATTGTTAGTTGCCTTGTGTAAGTATTACGATATGCAGCCGAAAAGCGCACAGGTTTTCGGCAACTTAATCGCCAGCATGTCACACTCTTTTGAGACAATGGTTCGGGAAGTTGTACAACAAGGAGGTAGTGGTCAGTTAGAATCTATAGGACAGATCAATAAGATTCCCTTACTTGGTTCAAATAAACAATCACTACTGGAAATGATGGATAAACCAGATCCACCACATTTAAGTGAATCATATGGTTGTGCTGTTTGCTTGTCAGCGTTTGACCAGCTGATACGTAGCTTCGGGGGTTTATACGGTGAGGAATTAAACGCGAAAAAATCCGCGAATAGCTTAGAATCTCACGAGCATGTTACAAATAACGAACACACTAGAAAAGACGCGAATATAATCTCAGTGCTTACAGCAATGATAACTGCTACTTGGTTTCCAATACTGAACTCATTTAACTTAGTTATAGATCAGTTTATCGAAGAAGGCACTATTGAATCTGTTCTTCAGTGTAAACAAACGTTTATATACCTAACAGCTTCATTACCGTTAGAAAAACCAAGGAATTATTTCGTGTTGTCTCACTGTAACTGGTCTCTACCACCTGGAGTACCTAAACTACCTTTAACAACCGAAATTACGAACTTAGCGACAAAACTGCGCGAATTCAGACATAACACAGATGAGAACCTATTTATACCCCAGGTATCTGCCCAAAGGAAGCATTTACAGTGTCTACGTAGTCTCTTAACGTTAGCACATGTCCATGGTTCTGTATTGGGATTAGCATGGTATCCAATTCTGTGTACCCTACAGGAAGTTTATTATTATTATAATTTAGAAGCTTACGCCTCAGCATTTTCTAGAAAAGAGCAATTACAACCTCAGATTGTACCGCACTTCACTACTACAACTTTACGGGAGGATTTTATAGTACTACAACAGTTGATGTTGAAATTGTTTGACAGTTCGCAGTTCTTGAATGATCAAGCTTTGACCTGTTTACTTCAAGCCTTGTGTAGATTATGCACTGAATCCTTGGTCCATATCCATGTAATACCAAGCAGTCAGAATGAAAACCCGCGTTTGTTTTGTATAACCAAAATACAACAGGTCTGTTCTGCGAATTTATTCCGCTCGAATTTATTTTGGGAGAATTTAAGCGGGCATCTTCTGACAGCTTGTCAATCACCTAACCAGCTGATAGCCTCAGCAGCTGGTGAATCATTCATCGAATTAATCAGAAACGCTATAGAATTCAGTCACCATCCTGCTTTAGACGAACAAAAAGAACTACAACGAACATTCATGCAATCATTTCTAGAACTATCCCTGGTCCAAAATGACAGACATTTCAGTCTACAGTTATCATCACTGAACGTAATCCTACAGCAGAGCATAACATACGTGAATTTCTCATGGGATATAATACTATCTATTTTAACCTATGCTGCTAGCACGAGCTCGACTGCAATTGTTAAATTAGGTTACCGTAACTTGCAGTATATTATAGCGGATTGTTTACCAGTTATTACGGTGGAATATCATACAGTAGTGATACTAACTACTGCTATGTATGGACGGCAAGAAGTAGAGATAAACACTTCATTCTCAGCTGTTGGTCAGCTGTGGAATCTTGCTGACTACTTCTTTCAGGATTGGAAACGTATACAAAGCGCGGATCATACAAATTCTTTTGAAAAAAATGCGTTTCTTAATAACTCCACCGACACGATATCAACCCCTATAATGAGATTCCTACAGAACAATAAACTTGTACAAATAGGCACAAATTCTGCATTATCATGGGGAGATAACCTATGGATGACATTATTCCTATCTCTAGGACAATTATGTGTAGATGACAGAGGCACTGTACGTAGAAGCGCGGCTCAGTCATTATTCGCGACCTTAGAAACACACGGGGAGCTACTGAGTAAACCTGAATCTTGGAGTCATGTATTCTGGGAGTTGATCTTCCCTCTAGTTGATGAAATGAAGCTGGCTATAGAGACTGCTAGAACAACACCAGAATACGAATCTACTGTTATAATACATCATCATAGTAGGGATACAGCTCACAAGCAATGGGCAGAGACTCTTGCACTAGTTGGTATGCAGCTGGGTCGGTTAATCAAGGCCAGATGGGGAACTTTAGTATATCTGACAGATTTCGCGAAAATATGGACGGCTTATCTTGGCTTTGTTGAGTTCTGTTGTTTGAAATTCACACCCGAGGTAGCATTTCAAACGTTACAAAGTTTTCGTGATATTTTATTGAACGGTGTTAACTATGATGAATCTAGCCAATCTATACACCTCTCCTCACAACATTTAGATGTCCGTTTGGATGAGGCTTATACGCAAGCCTGGTCAACTTGGATTCAACTCGCGAAAACTAAAATACCATCTATGCTTAAGGATATTGAAATTGCGACTGATAGAGCTATGTTACCGGAAATGTCCCATTTCCATGCTGTAGTTATAAATCTCGTCAAGTTAGGCCCTGCATTATTTATCCATGTAAAATCATCTTTACAAGTCTCACATATTTCTCAGCTATTCCAGCTGATTAGAACCTGTGTCCAGTGTCCAGTGGAGCGTGACGTATCACCTTTCCTTGTCCC